CCTTACTGTTTTTCCCTGACACATTCATAATCATTACTTCTGCGGTGCGCTGTGGCAAGCTTTATGCGTGTGCTTGAGCGCTTATTAGGTTATGTAGGCAATTAAAGACTCATAATAATGATTTAAATGGTTTATTAATAAACGTGCGATTAGTCGACTAATGCTTAAAATGAACGACTACTAGTCGACCAGAAAAATCCTTAGTCGAGGACAGCCCTAATAGAGAGAAAGAGAGAGAACTGGATAACCAATGTCTTTTTATTCCTCAGGTTTGCAGTACAAGACCACATAATTGGAGCCTTCAGGAAGTTTGCCACAAACAGCTGCTGTCATGTGACTTTAATTATCCACCCTCGGAAAGAAGAGGATGATAAAGAACTGCAGACAGCATCCATCTTTGGCACAGCAAAGGTTGGTAGATACTGACTGAGCCCACATGTGTATTCCTTGAGATACACATTTCTACATGTACATGTTTAGTTTCTATCTATAAGAAAATCTAATGTATCTATCTGTAAGAAGTCTAATGTATCATTTCCCCCATATCAGGCCAGTCAGGAGGCAGATAACGTGCTCATCCTTCAGGAGAAGAAGTTGGTGACGTGTCCAGGCCGTAGGTCCCTTCAGGTGTCCAAGAACCGCTTTGATGGGGACGTGGGGATCTTTCCTTTAGAATTTAATAAAACCTCGCTTACCTTCTCTGCGCCTGTGAAGGGAAAACAGAAGCTTCGAAAGGTGAAAGTGGACAAGAATATCAGCACAGAGGAAATAGAGGAGACTGAACTCAAAGAAAAACGTGAGAAAGCTCTCAAGCCTGCCAAGGCAAAGACAGTTAAGGGGTCAGCAGCATTAAAATATACCACAGATGGAGAAGGAAATAATCAGTAGCTCAGGGAATTCATTATTTGCATGAATTCAAATAAAATGATTAATACATAAAAAAAGTAACGTTATGGTGTTTGCTGCATTTTTGCTACTGAGTAAATTCATGAATGTTCATGTTAAGTGTTTTTAGATTTTTTTGTAGGGAGTTGTATGCAATGTTTTGTACATCCACTTATGTTTTATATTCACTTATATGCAACAAATATGAACAAGTATTTGATGATTTAAAGAAGGTTTAAATACAGGACTTTAAAGCTGCATTTGAACAGATGCCATAGATTTCATCAATGCAAATACATTTCATGGATTATGTGCAAAAATGACATGTGATCTGTTTCCGTTTTATTGTCATTATTACTGTTGGAGAAAAGTGTCAAATAAGCTATTTAAAGGAGGCTGTGAAAACTGTTAATAAAATGTTTTGTAGGATTTGTATCTTCTGCTTACCTATGTTGTGTATATTTAGATTTCTGACAGTTGAATTTATTTTATGTTTTGAAACTATTGAAATAGTCTGCTTTAATATACTTTTGTTGAACGAATGGTAATTTAATACTCTTCAACCCTGATCACACTCAGCATGGAAATTAAGTCAACAGATTCAAATAATTTATTCTAGCACTTCCAATTTACACTGGGTTTGTATTTCCTACCAGATTGTTAGATGCAGTTTAGCTACCCAAAATAGTTAGAAATGCGTGTGTGTGTGTGTGTGTACAGGAAAGTACAGAAAATCAATTGACTAAAACTCAGTAATTATCTAACAATAAGGACTATTAATGTATAAGTATAGTATTTTAAGTGTTGTATGTATAGTAAATAAGTAATTTATTAATGAACTTTAGTGACAATACAATTGTCAAAATATAATATGAAAGTGTAATACAAAAAAAATAAAATTAAATGTTTTATTTGTAAATGCATGTTTTGAAAATATTAAAATGGAGCTTTCCTAATATACTGATGCTTTAAAATAACGCTCTCAGACAATATACTTTTTCGGACAATGTTTTTTTTAATAAAATATATAATCTAAAATCTTTTATTTAATTTCTGGTTTGCCGGTTGTTGTTTTTTTTTTTTGTATGTCTGAACTTTATTATGATTCGATCTGTAAAACGAGTTTTTAATGATGTTTCATTGATGTTTGCTTTTTTGATAGTTAGTTTTGATTTTTTTATTATGCAATAGAAGAACAACAAATACAATTACAAAGACAAGTAAGAACAAAAGACAATAAGGGTTGTCTATGTTAGCTAATAAGACTTACACCATGAAAGAGTCTTACATGCAATAGAATTATTAGAGTTTCTTAAAGAGTTTACATACACATCAAAATCTTTCCTGAAAATAAAAAAGTAGGGAGTTTTCTTTGAAAATTTACACTTATGAATGTAATATTTAGCAAGATATAGCAATAGATTAATAATACATTTACAGTGAGACGGGTCTAAATTCAAAGAGTAACCAAAAAACACAATTTTTGGGGTTATACAAAAGTTTGGATATAAATATTTTTTAACAAAACTGGAAAAGTCAACCCAGAACACTTTAGAATAAGCACAGTCCCAAAACAAATGATTGATTGTTTCTTCAGACTGAAGGCAAAAGGAGCAATTGGGGGAAATACTACTGTTAAATTTAGCAAGTTTGTAATTTACCGGATAACAATTATGGATAATTTTGATAGAGACTTCCAACAACTTTATTAGATTAGAAGAATTTTTGTCGAAGACGCCAAAACTCTTCCCATTCTATATCACTAAATATGTTATTCCAAAAACTCACACAAGCAGGTAAAGAAATCTGAGATCTATTAATAATTGAACGAATGTCTTTGTTTGACATGGTATTGAGAAGACTTTGGTCAACAAATAAAATAGTGTTATCGAAAAGAGGAGAGTCTAATGAACCTTTAGGGCCAGATTTTACTAAAGGTATAATACAATTGGGAATTGCACCAAACACAATGGCATATTCTCTTGGGGGGACTGGGAAAAAAAATTCTTGCATAAATTGTTCATAAGTAAAAAGGACACCACGATCATCTAAAAGTTGACTGACTAAAAGGATATTTTTATCAAACCAATTGTGAAAAAAAGAGATATATTTTTATATCTAATATTTTTATTATTCCAAATAAAGTAGCTATGTGGTGAAAAATTATAATTATGTATAAGTGACCAACTTATAGTTACTAGGTTTGAGCAGGATCTTGATCTTGACACACTGCAGCGTGATGAGAAACGTGTCATATGACTTCTTGCACCAATCAGGAACCTTGTAAATGTAGGAAGTATCCGAGCCTGAATTGCTGGTTTCTGTTCCTTTACATAAACCCCGTGGATTAAAGAAAATGTATTCAACTTTTTTTTCATTAATCACTATAAATGATTTGCTCGGTAATGTAAGATGCATGGCCTCAGCTTTTGGAAATCGGATGAACACTTATATTAATTGAGCTTTTAATAAAAAAATTTATAAATAATAAATTTAATCGGAGAACACACAGATTATAATGAAGAATTTGTTCTCCCTATGGTAATTACGCTTTTTTTTTACATGATTTAATCCCATTAGTCAGCAAGTGTTGGTTAAGTTAAAAAAAAAAGTATAAATATGTTGTAAAATATGTAATATAATTTTTTGTGTGAGCGAATTCATCTTTTGAATCGAATCTTAGAAATGAATCAGTTGAAACGATTCACAAAACGGGGGCAAGTTCAAGCTCAAACCGGTGTGCACCGTTTTGCTACGGTTTCCGGCTTGAACGACATGTTTCCTGGAAACGGTGTGCAACAGGGTTTGAGATGTGTTTTCTCTTGTTTGGTGGGTGTGTCAAACAGCCACTGATCTATAATAGAGTGGTCAAAACAAATTCTTCACGAATCGGATGAATTGATGTGTTCAGTTCTCGAGCCAATAACTAATTTTTGAACCGATAATCGACGAGCATAAGGAATGTTGCTAAAACTTACAGGAACTAATTTTATGACTTATTCGACACCCACAAATTTTAAAAAGCTGGTTTTAACAAATAGTATTTTATCGAAACATGACCATGATACTTTTTCAGTCAAGAGATTTAATTAATTTGAATTTTAGTATTCTATAGTGTAAAGGGAAATTATAATTATGTCATAAATGATTTTATGAACCATGAAATCAACAAACTGAACCAAAAAAAAAAAAACTTTTACTTGGGGGCCAAATGTCTCACATATGCTTTATAATAGGTTTTGGAACTACTGATGGAGTTGTTTCATCATGGCATAATATAAGCTTCATTATTATTATTTTTTTGATTCAATAATTTAAATCAAACTGTTTGAAAGAACCGATTCCTGTAAATGAATCAGCCTTAGCAGCACTAATGCAAAGTGACCCAGTGTTACTTCAATTTTATGACATGTTGAACTTGTTTCTTTGTCCATATGCAAAATACTATATCCTGCAGAGCTGATATCTGAACAATGGAAATGATTGATCGTCCTTTCACATCCTTGATTATATTTTCTATTGTAGATAATAGATTGCAGACGTTGCCAATTTACACACTTCCATCTCTCCTTATAAATGGGAATTAATAATAGGAACAAACAGATTTTCTTCTCAAATCAAAACACTCTGCAATTATGCACTAACAATCTGTGTTATAATGTTTGTTTGAATGATTGCAGGCCTTGCCAATGGTGACCGTTATAGTGGGCAGCAAAACTTCTGGCCAGAAGTGCTGTGTTGTAACTCAGACTGAAGCTGCTGATGAGCCCAGGGTGGTGCACTTTGATCTCCCAAATGAACTGGCCCCACTTTTAAGAGGGCAGCCAAACTGGGCCAATTATGAAAAAGGGAGTTGTACAGCACTACAGATGTAATCTTTTGCTATCATTTTTGCCTATCTGGCAAAAAAGGGAAGTAATGAGGAAGTGTACGCTTAGTCTGCCTCTAGCACGAAATGTGATCCTAGGGACCCATGCTGAGAACTTGTCTTTGGACTAACTTTTTAATGCAGTGTTTCCAATAACCTTACTTGCAACACGTACAGAATAGCTGCTGAGCACATGTTCACTGTCTTCTAACTCTAAAAGTACATATAGATTGAATATATACTTTGAATGGAGTACATATTAATCTCATGCATGTATTAGCTTTCACAAATGGACATACAGTGGGGCAAATAAGTATTTGATACACTGCCGATTTTACACGGCCCATCCCTGGCTTCAGAGCTGTAATAGCTAGTAGTGTGCCACTAGGAGGAGGACTCTCCAGCTCAGCTTCACTTGAAGTGGCTGTGTACACCTTCCTGCAGCAGTTGTGTCCAGGTAGGAGCTCCTTCTGTCTGTCACACTCATTTTAAATGGTCTTGGTCTTTTTTTGATATTCCTATCCACCTTATTTTTAACATAGAGCGACACAGCCATTTGTAACTCGAATGTGCAAGGCTTCTGGTGTCATTGACTTACAGCTATTTTTAGCTGTCCAA